CAAATAGTTATCGATATCCGATAAACGTGATTTTTTGCAAGAATAAAATACTTAACGAGTTCTAAATATTGAACGGATCGGATTATCGAAAAAAGACCTATGGTGAGCCACATTGGCCCGAACAATATGGTCCAGTCTGTTCACCCCTTACCATTTCTCTTCGTTTTGATGTAAATTTTTTATTTTATTTTATTTTTTCTTTGTTTTGGGTTAGAAGGTGTTATTCAGTAATTTGTTTGGGCTTTAATAAAGCCGTTTTCATTTAAATATATATATTTTTTCTTTTGTCTTTATTTTGGGTTAGAAGGTGATAATGTAATTCATAAATTTCTTTTCACTTTACTAACGCCATTTTCATGTAAAGTTTTTTATTTTTTATTTTTTTCTCTTGTCTTTGTTTTGGGTTAGAATGTGTTATTCAGAATTTTGTTTTGGCTTTACTAAAGCCGTTTTCATTTAAATATATTTTTTTTTTCTGTTGTCTTTGTTTTGGGTTAGAAGTTGATAATGTAATTCATAAATTTCTTTTCACTTTACTAACGCCATTTTCATGTAAAGTTTTTTATTTTTTATTTTTTTCTCTTGTCTTTGTTTTGGGTTAGAATGTGTTATTCAGAATTTTGTTTTGGCTTTACTAAAGCCGTTTTCATTTAAATAAATTTTTTTTTTTCTGTTGTCTTTGTTTTGGGTTAGAAGTTGATAATGTAATTCATAAATTTCTTCTCGCTTTACTAAAGCCGTTTTCATGTAAACTTTGATATTTTTTATTTTTTTCTCTTCTCTTTGTTTTGGGTTAGAATATGTTATTCAGAAATTGGTTTTGGCTTTACTAAAGCCGTTTTCATTTAAATAATTTTTTTTTTTTCTATTGTCTTTGTTTTGGGTTAGAAGTTGATAATGTAATTCATAAATTTCTTCTCGCTTTACTAAAGCCGTTTTCATGTAAACTTTGATATTTTTTATTTTTTTTCTCTTCTCTTTGTTTTGGGTTAGAATGTGTTATTCAGAAATTGGTTTTGGCTTTACTAAAGCCGTTTTCATTTAAATAAATTTTTTTTTTCTATTGTCTTTGTTTTAGGTTAGAAGCTGATAATGTAATTCATAAAACCTTGAGGAAAAAACACAGAAGTCTCCCACAAAAATACATAAGTAGTACAAACATAAGTGTCGAACAACAATACATTGTGGACACCATGAACTGAACACACAATACATAGATAAACATAACAGTTAGACAGACAAATATTAGCCAGACAATCTGACCAACTCATTACAGAAACACTTACTCTAACACAGACATTACATATTAATGCATGACCTAATATTGCCGAAGTGTAGACATTAACACCTAATTCGCGCTTAAATCGGTAGGTGGCTCAGAGTCCGAACAATCTGAAAGCTCAGCGTCAGAGACAAGCTGAGGATCCTCCATGATACCCTTGATAGCCGCATCATTTGGTTCTGTTTTGTTCTTCTGGGCATCCTTCTTAACTATGTATAGCTGCATATCGCGAGCTAACCTACGACCCATTTGAGAAATCTCACGTTGTAGTATTTCACATAGTCGATCAACATTATCAGGATCTTCCTTTTGGATCTCAACAGAACGTGCTTTTGGAACCTTCAATCGAGTTTCCTGACATAATCTTTCCATTTGGACTCGCTCTATAAATAGTGCGGGCCACTTCAGAAGTCTAGCGTTTGCTAAACCATATCCTGTTTGATTATCTGATGGTTCCTCCACCAAACCACTTGGATCTCGATAGTATTTGGGCATGACAAAATGTCGCTTCCCAAACCTATCATGATAAGCACAAGAGGCATCTAACGAAGCAAATGGTGTTTCATCTTCAGTATCGCCACTTCCCCTTCCCCCTCCTCGTCATGAACTGTCACCCCTTTGCAAGTTCCTACCACCTCTGCGATTCTCACTCCCTCCCATGAACCATGTAGCCATGCTAATTTTTTAAAACAAATGAATGATAATTTCGTAGGGCAAAATGAGTTGTAAGGTTGTGTCTTCACCTTTAGTCGTTTTCATAGTTGGTTATGAATAGCTTTAGAAATATGGCCCTGCATGACAATCCCACATAAACGAACAAGGTATAAGTTGTCAGTAGAATGAAAAACCAGAAAAAAGGAAATATTGTGCACCAAGTCATATGACTTGACAATCCATCTGCATATACCGACAAAATAAGGGCATGCTCACTGTAAGGTAAATCAGTGAATTCACTGTTGCCATGTGACTTTATGAATTGAGAATCCCACATATATCAATAAAAGATGAGTTGCCACTGTAACAAAAAAG